AAAAAACACATCTTTATCCAGCCTCCAGTTGATGGGCAGCTGGGCTGTTTCCAGTTTTAGCTATAACAAGCTGTGCCACTGTAAACATGGGTGTACATGTTCGCTGTATTATGATGCTTTTCAATCTTTTCAGAAGATACCCGGCAGGGGAATGGCTGGGTCAAATGGGACCTCTAGTCCTAGTTCTTTGAGGAAGCTCCACACTGATCTCCACAGTGGTTCCACCAGTCTGCAGCCCTTCTTGATCAAATGGCAACTTGGATCAATACTTCAGAACATCGCTTCCAGCCGCATTTAATCAATTTTTCTCTACACTCCCCAGAAGGAGGCTGGCATGTTAGCAGTGGTGCTGCTGCACAGGGCATCCCTGCCAGGGGTGGGAGGAGGAACAGGTCAGAAGCATCTCATCCACCCCTGCACTCCTTCACTTGTGCTCTGTGATAGACAGAAATCTGGGCAGTGGTTACAAGCAGGCTGTGACCTTTACTCACCTGACCTTGAGAAAGTTACCTCAACGCGCCACGCCTCTCCTCCACCTAAAACATGGGAATAAAAAGCACTCGCCTCTATTGCCAGGCCAGGAGCACTCAGTGAGTAAAGTTAAGTGTTCAATTAAAAAACAACAAAAATAACAAGCTCATGGAAGGGAAGTCAGGGCCAGATCTGACTGCCTGAGATGACAGTCACCTGGGCTGGGGACACAGATGGGGTGGAGCCCTCGCCTGGGGTGCACGACCCCAGCACCAAAGGGAAAAGTGACTTTTCCTTGCCCACTGAGCCGGTGGACTCGTGACACCCCTGAAGCCCACTGAGGGCCGGGTTGATCTAGACCCTTGGGATGATGGGAGACCATTCGTCCTCCGGGCCATCTGTCAGGAGGACTTGTGAGGAGGAGACAGCCCTGCTTCTGGTCTCACTGAATTCCGGGACAGAATCTGATCATTCTAGGCCAAGCCACAGGTTCCAGGTCATGGACGAGCTGGGGACCCAGTGCTGCCCCTCATTCCAGGAAGCAGCGGCGAGGGCCGAGGGGCTGCAGGAGAGACCCGGACACCGCTCCAGCAGTGGGGCAGAGTGCGCCGGGCCAGGCCAGTGGGGTGGGGGCACCGGGCTGGTGAGGGCCTCCGAGCAGGCCTGCAGGTCAGGACGGCCTTTCAGTGCGGGATGGGGTGGTGGACAGCGTCCTCGCTAGGAGAGGCCCCCGGGGACCTGCGCTGACCAAGGCCTGTCCTGCCATGGGCGTGGCCATTCCTGGTCCGTGTCAGCAAACGTTTCCTGCACTTGGTGAGAACTTCCATTGAGAAGCTTGGGTGGGGGTTTCTGGAGTCTGGGCTCAGTGCTGCGGGTGACTCGTCCTGTCCGTCGTGGGCGTTTAGGAGGGAATGGAAGCACCCTGTGTACACCTTACAGCGGACAGGGGTAATTTCTGAACAGCACTCACTCCTTCCCTTAGCCCGATCGCCGTACTTAACGGGGAAGGGTAATTCCAGAGGGGCAGGTATTCTCCGTGGCCCTCGTGCCCTGTGTCCTGCTGGTTGGCCCTGCCCCTCTCCTGGGAGAAAGTGGAATGCAGCTCCTCCCCGGGGAACCGACTAGACACAGCCAAAGTGGTGCCGCAGGACTGCACAGCGAGGCAAGGAAAGGGGATAATGAGGTGATTAACACATAGAGAAAGGGCCAGGGATTTTGCTCAGTGGTTCCGGCACCTGCCTCACAAGTGCAAGGACCCAAGTTCAATCTCCGGTATCAAAGAAAAAACAAAACAATAAAGACTTAAATTAAAATGATTCCAGTAAAAGGCACGTTGCCATGAATCCCCCTCGAAGTCCTCCCTCTTGCTTCGAAAACACGCATCCCATCGCACGTCCCACTTCCTGCAGCAGCTCTGCAGTGCTCCTTCCTGAGTATCCTTATGAGCTGTGATCAAAAATACAGTGACTGCCGCTGCCTGGCGCCATCCAGTGGGAAGGCAGCTACTAAACACACGACGCTGTGTCCTCGTCCACCTGACTCACCAGGTCTGGCACGTGTGACCTCCCGCTCGTACCCAAAGTCCAAATGCCCAGGAAAGGGAAGTGTTCTGAATCCATTCAGGACATGGGGCAGCCAGGACAGCGCAGCTAACGCCCTCAGGAGAGAGGACTGCAGAGCTGCTGTAGGAAGCGGCCAGGACAGGGTACAAGTGTACTCAACGTGAGGGGAGGATCTGGGAAGGGGATTAACTGCAGTGCCTCCTTTACTGGATTAATGTTTAAAAATTCAAGCCGTCATTGTATTTTTGACCAAGGCACACTCAGCTTCCTCCTGGCTCTGTGGCAGATCTGTTCCTGGGCCGCTCCACGCTGAGAGCCCCCCGGATACACGGAGAGATCCGGTGATGGCACAAGATCTGGCTGTCCTGGCCAGCCCTGGAGCCAGGTCACCAGGTCACTCCCTCTGCCCAGCCTCCCCGCCCCACCCGGCACCCCACACGCGAGTTTGACACCACTGGATTCTGGGTGCTGCGCAGCACAGGAGTGATAAAGCAGGACAAGGCCCCAATCCCCTCAGTGGTGGAGAGGTGGGCGCCTTTTCCTGTGTGGTGATGGGGGTCTCTGCCCCGGCCCCTGAACTCCCAGGGTCCCTTGATGTCACTTTCCTGACAGCAGGAAGTGGAGAGCCAGGACACAGAGTGCTTCTGACACACTCGGGGTACGAGAAAGCGAGTCGAGCCGCACTGAGGGGAGTCAGGCAGGCTGCAGTGGCGGGGGTGGCTCCCAGGACCCCACTGTGGTCGGGGCTCACAGCCTCACCCTGCATCTCATGCCTTGGAGAACTCTGCATGGGCTGAAGGCCAGGCCCAGGCTTGCATTCCCACAAGGCGGACAGACAGATGGACAGGAGGTGTGCTCCAGTGACACTGATAGCCCTGCCCTGTGGTGACACGCCTGCTTCAGGGACACAGCCTGCTCCACAGGAGGGACTAGGAGGAACCCAAGACTTCTGGACCTATGCTTCTTGCAGCAGGGGACATTCTGCTCACTGAAGAAAGGTGACCCCCTTTTGTATTCCACAGACCTCTTCGTCAACTGTATCCCCAATTAATTTTTGCAGCAATGGGATAAAATTTTAAAATAAAAAAAAATTTTTGGAGATGAGGTCCTGTTATTCCCCCAGGCTGGCCCCAAACTTCTGGGCTCAAGACACCCTCCTGCCTCAGCCTCCCCCGATACTACAGGCACCACCATCATGACGTCCCTCTCCCTGGGTGCTTTCTCAGCCCCTACAGCTTCATGAATGAGTTTCTGGTGAGTCTTTGCCAGGTCATCTGTCACTGATAAAACTAGGACAGTTGTCCCCAGTTAGAGGCGCCAGCAGAACGGAGCACTCTGCCGAGCCCGGTGGCTGTGTTCACCCAGCAGAGTTCTGGAGGAGGCTTTGGCCCGGATCCTGGGAAACACGGGGGACAGGCAGCCCAGAACACAGAGCTCCCGGGCAGCAGGAGGAAGAGGACACGTTTGGGTGTGAAGGGGAGCAACACAGCCACCAAGGAGGGGATGGAACCACAGGGCAGCGGAAGGAAACAACTCCCAGACGGCGGGGCCGGGCATGGGTCCTGGAGGAGCGGAGAGAAGCAGCTGTGGGGACAGTGGCCTCGCTTCCCAGCACGGGACACCCACCGCGAGTGCCAAGGGAGGGACCACGAAGCCTCAGCCGGCCTTTCCCGGGGTCTCCTCTCCTCGCCCCTCGCACAGAGCAGGGCGGCGGGGACAACAGTGCTGGGCCAGCATCTGTGCCCGGCACACAGAGGGCCCTCGACAGGTGACCTGTGGCCTTGGCACCGCTGCCTCCCTGCAGGAAGGGGCTCAGAAGCCACCAGCAAGGATCTTGAACCGTGCAGGGGGCCGGCTCTGCCCTTCCCTGGGTGGCCAGCGAGGGGTCATCTGTAACGGGTTCAAGACCCGCTTTCCAGCAGTGCCGGGAACACCAGGCAGCAGAAGACAGCACCACTCTCATCCTCTGCCCTCAGGGCCGCTGGCCACACCCATGTAGAAGGCAGCGTGGGACCCGCCCCAGCCCAAACCCCCAGCCACTAACACAGCGCCCACACCGGGGACAGAGCCAGCCTGCCTGCCCACAGCAACACATGGCAAGGCGGCTCGCAGGATGCCCCGGGGGCCTGGACACTTCCGCAATGCTAGGTCCACAGCCAGGCCTGCTCCGGCCACCCAGCAGGCTGCTGTCCACCAGGTCTGTGCCCGCTGCCACTCCCGGGTCCCCTCGATGCTCCCAACAGCCCCAGAAAGTTGGAACTATCCTCACCCCTGTCCTACAGATGAGGGAACCGCACCCAAGGGTCCCTCTAGGCTTCACATGGGATTCGCTCTGCTCTGAATGCCCAGCTGCACTTGTGCCCTGAGAAGAGCAATGCCAGGGCTCAGGATCCCCGCCCGGGAGGCCAGGCACTCTGCACAGCAAGGCCTCCGAAAGGTCCCCTGTCCTCTGCTCCCAGCTGACCGTGTCCAGCTGAGAGCAGGCACCGGGAGGGCCCAGAGCTCTGCTGACCCTGCTCCGCACTGTTCCCGAATGGAAGGGCTTTCAACCTCACAGATCATCTCGTTTTCTAGCTAGGACATCGGAACAAACACAAGACCCATGGATTCCAAGGCAAACAAGCAAAATCTGCTTCTCCCTGACATCAAACACTTTGTATTAAGAAAAAAGAAAAGGAACGTGGTCGTCGCAGCTTCCCCTGCTTTATTACCGCAGGACATCTGTGCAAGTGGGGCCGGGTGGAAAACGGCGGAAATCCGAAGCGAGTGTCTCAATCCGAGGAAAGCAGGGGAGAACGCACCAGAACCACTGAACTCTGGGTCGCGTGTGAACCGTGGGCAGGGCAGGGCAGCGGGTCCCCGGGCAGCCGTGGACACGAGCTTGGGCCACGTCCCCTGCACCGCTCGGAGCGCAGGGTCCCTGACATCAAACACTTTGTATTAAGAAAAAAGAAAAGGAACGTGGTCGTCGCAGCTTCCCCTGCTTTATTACCGCAGGACATCTGTGCAAGTGGGGCCGGGTGGAAAACGGCGGAAATCCGAAGCGAGTGTCTCAATCCGAGGAAAGCAGGGGAGAACGCACCAGAACCACTGAACTCTGGGTCGCGTGTGAACCGTGGGCAGGGCAGGGCAGCGGGTCCCCGGGCAGCCGTGGACACGAGCTTGGGCCACGTCCCCTGCACCGCTCGGAGCGCAGGGCCTGCGACGCGAGAGAAGTCAGACCCTGAGGAGCCGAAGGTCGCTGGCTGCAGTCCGGGCTCTCAGGGGGCCGGCTGGGGCCTGTCGCCTAGGTGATGACGGTGGGCGCCGTGCGGCCGGTCCTCTCCTGCAGCTGGGACACCTTGAGCGCGATGGTGACCAGCGGGGCCAGCATGACCTGCGGGACACCGGGGAAGGAGGCTCAGCCCGGCGGGCACCGCCACCTCCACGCTGCTCCCTCAGCCCCACGTCTCTGCGTCCGCCCGGGTACTGCTTACCCGGCACCCAGAAATGCACCCTCCGACGCCTCGCTACAGGGGAGAGATCTGCTGCTTCAATAAGCAATGTGTAATCTTTTGCAAATGCAGCGGGGCGGGGAAGGGGATGTAAAAATGGAGATGTGCTATGCACGTGGACCAACTCCCCCGGGAACGTGACCATCACCAACTACAAACAGGCACTTGTAAAAATGAAAAATTTTTTTAGTTTTAAATGGAAACCATCTACGGGGTTGGTAGTTTTACTGCTTCTCATTTAGGGGCAGGGGTCGGATCTCTTCCACGGCTGCTTTCCCTCATCTGCCCCCCGCACCCCCGCACCCCAGGGCTCTGATTCATTCTCTCCTCCCTGCTCTGTGCTTTTGTCTTGAGGATAGAAAGAGAACTGAAGGGTTTTCCCTGCTTCCTCCTGCCAATACCCCAAGGGCTGGTGTGCAGACCCCCAGGCCTCCGTGTACGTTTTAGGGGGGCCCAGCACACCAGGGGTCTGTGGTTGTGGGGCCCGAGCCCGGCTGCTGGGAAGGGGAAGAGCAAAGCATTCTCGCCTCCCTGTTTGTAGGAGAAGCCACTGCTGCTTACAGGAAATATCTGTCTTGGCAGATGTGGGAATGGAATGGAAGTTGGCAGGGATCCAGGAGGGGAATGGGGTGCACTGCTCAAGGGGTATCAAGTTTCAGTTTTATTTTATTTCTTGAGGTCTTTCAAAGATCTGGGGTCTTGCTGTGCAGCCCAAGCTGGCCTCAGCCTCCTGATCCTCCTGCCTCAGCCTCCTGAGTGGCCGGAATTACATGTGTGGACCACCACACCTGGCTTTAAATTTTAGTCTTTCAGGGGCTGGGGATTTAGCTGCCTGTGGTTCCGCTGCCTGCCTCCCAAGCACAAGGTCCTGAGTTTGAGCCCAGGTACAGGTTTTAGTCTTACAAAATGAAAAGGTTCTGAAGATTTGCCAAACAATGCAAACACACAGTCATCCTTACCATGGGTGAGATGGTAAATTTTTTTTTACAATTCTAAGAACTTCTTTCAGTGTTAACCCCATGTGCTGGCACCCTGTTTAAGTCATTTATAGGGCTTGTTTCCCTTGGTCCCTGCAAGTCTGGGACATTATTATCCTACCATCTTGGAAACAAGGAAGCCAAGACTCATAAAAATGAGATGGCTTAGCCAGAGACACAGTTATTAAGTGGCAGGAACAGGATTTAGAGTAAGATCTCTCTAACCACAAACCTAGGCTCAAATCCACCATGTCAAAGGTTTCCAAATGGATTTTACAGGATTTTAAGTAGGTGTGGGAAGATAAAAGATTTTCTGCAAAAACAGCATGGTAATGCTGTCAACTTTAATTTTTAATAAAAACTTTATATTTAAGGTATAAAACCTGGTGCTTTGAAATACACGCACACAGCGAGCCGATTCCGTGAGGGTCACACTAAGGAGCACGTCAGCCTCCTCGGAGTTGGCTGCGTTTGACATAGAGGCAGCGGCCACTGGCGCTCTACTCCCGGGAGACCTCGAGCAGGTGGCACAGTGAGGGACAGTCACTGCGTGGGACCTTGGATCTCAGGGACTCCTGCAGCCCCGCCAGCCCCGGCCATGGCCCCTTCTGCTCTGTCTCTATGGCTTCCGCATATAAATGACATCGTGCGGAAGGTGTCTTGCTGTGTCTGGCTCTGTTTCACTGAGCAGAATCTATGACTGTTGCTGTGACATGCTGAAAGGACAGGGGACAGTGGAGGAGCCTGGTGGACCCGGAGAAAGGCTCCTCACGCCTCCCTCCAGCGCAGCATCACCTGGGGGTCCTGGTAGATCTTGGCGACGTCCTTCTCATAGCTGTCAATGTATAGGCGGATGGTGGCCCCAGAGCTCCCAGTGCCGCTCAGCCGGAAGATGATGCGGGAGCCGTCTGCAAAGAGGAGCCGCAAGCCCTGCAGAAGATAGCAGAGGGTTTTCCTGCCGTGTGCTGGAAGGGAGGGATGCCTGGCAGCTATGCGAGGTGACATCACCTCCTCTGTACTTGACAATGGGAGGATCGGACCCTGCAAATACAGCAAGTAGGACTAAAGAGTCTGCTCGGGAGATTGGCCCAGCTGACTCCAGGATAAGGAGGAAGACCTGGCCCAGGGACACTGGGGGACACAGCACCTCCATCTCTGCTCCCCAGGACCCATGGGCCACCATTCCTGTGTGAAGCTCAGTAAGCAAGTAAAGCTGCCAGATGCAGATCTGATGCCCAGCTCAGGAGGGGACATGGGCAGGACAGGGACACAGAGCAGCAGAAGTCCAGGAGACATGGAGAAGGGCTCAGCAAGACTCCTCATCTGCAGGAGGCCCCACACCCACGGATGGAGGCCCATGGCGCCACCTGCTGACGCCCAGTGTAGCAATAATGCCCACGCAGGTGCTGGGCTGCCTGCCCCATTGCCCCTTCTGATTCCCAGAGTCCAGCCCACTCTGTGATGGGCTAAGGTGACCTGGAGCTGAGTGCTGGTGACCACCCTGTCACCTTGGTACCCAGCACACAGTGACCCCAGTTCCCAGGCTGGGCCAGGTTCTCAAAATGGAATCCTGCATGCAGCATACCACTGGGTCCACTGGATTGCAGATATGAGCAGTCAACATTTCTCAGTCCAGGACAGCCTTTTATTTTTAAACACTTGATATGTAGTTCGGGCTGGGCTTAAACTATGTGGTATAGGCTGGTATAAGCCTCTAACTTGCACCGATCCTCCTGCCTCAGCCTTTTTACAGGTGTGCACCACCACACCGGGCTAAGGACTGCCTTATTTAAATTCTACTCAGAACCTAAGCATGTGAAGAAAACATGTGACAGCTCATCACAGGGAGTGCTCTTCGCAGCCCTGAAGGGGAAGAGGGAGCCATACCTAAGGCCACACACCATGCACATTTTTGGATTTTCAGCTCCCTTGGGCTGCGAGGGTGTTCCGGGGTGTGGGCAAGGAGCCAGAAAGAGGGCAGGAGCTACACCAAGCCAGGGCACACACCATTCCCCACGAGTGCAGGTGAGAAGCGGCAGATGCAGCTCCCAGGACAGGGAGCAGAGGGGTCACGCCCTGGACCCGGCAGTGCTGCCGGGTCCTCTCCCCACACACATCTGTTCCTACCTGATTCTTGGAAACACTTCCGTCCACCGGGTCACTGTACTCAAAGTTGTCCGCTTTCTCCACCGTGTACATTTTGTCGTTGGCTGAGAACTGCTTCCCCACAAAGGAGCGATCCAGCATCAGGGCCTCCAGGTCCTTCATCATCTTGTTCGCAGCCTCTGCGTCCACCTCCTCGTAGTCATACCTGGAAGTCACAGAGGTGGGCCCGGCTGAGGGACAGCAGCCCTGTCTTGTCACCAGTTTGGCCCTTCCCCAGGGTCACCTGGGGCAGAGGCAGCAGGGCAAGGAGAGGAGGGGCGACCTGGGGAAGGGGTGCAGTCCTCCAAATGAGCTGCACTGCGGCTTCTCCACAAAACAAAACGCTCAGAGGCTCAGTGGCGCTTGTCTAATGTCGGATCATCACAGCCCGAGGAGCAGAGCAGTGACCATCAGAAAACTCTGTCCCCATCCAGGGCCAGCCTGAGGTGCCACCTTCCCTTCAGCAGCTGTGGACTCTAGTCCCAAAGACTTTGGGCTCACCCTGGGCACAGAGCCTGGTGTGGACCATGGGAAAACCAACACTGCAATCCTAAGGTGATGATTCCACCTTAAGACTTGTTCTTGTCTGCTTTCTTAGCAGGTTAAGGGGTTATTATCATGAATTATTAACTATGGGATGCATTTTTAAAAATTGTCTAAATCCCAGCACTTTGGGAAGCTGAGACAGGAGTTTGAGCACAGCCTGGGCAACTTAGTGAAACCCAGATTCAAAATAAAAAATAAAACAAAAAAGGGCTGGGATAAAAAATAAAACAGAGCCGGGGATTTAGCTCAAGGACCCGAGTTCAATCCCCAGTACCAAACAAAAACAAAAACAAAAACAAAAACAAAAACAAAACAAAAAAACAAAAAAGGGCTTTGCTCAGAGCGAAGGCCCCGGGTTCAATCCCCAGTACCACAGCAACAATCAAAAATAGTCGAACTCATCGGTTTCAGAGGAAAAGTGACGGGAGTCCAGAAAAATTATATCTATGCATTTGTCTCCTACAAATAAATACTATCTAATATCCTTTTTCTTAGTTCCTTTTCATAACTGGAATACTGAGGTCCAAAAACAATGTGTTAAACATTTGCACTGATTGGAGGAGAAGCAAATTGGAATTAGGGGAAACATTACTAGTAAAAAAAAAACAAAAATAAAAAACCACAGTGCCAAGGATGGAACCCAGGGCCTTGGGCAAGCTAAGCACATTCTCTACCACTGGGCTACACCCCAGGACCCCCTAAAATTCAGAGCTTCTTAAACATAAAGGAGCACATGGTAAAGAGGGTTACTAAGCGTTCCGACTCCCATGTTCACCACGCAGTCCTTGGTACCCACAGAAGCAGGCACGCTGTAAGTACTTAAGGAATCATGAATGAAGCACTGAGAAGCACCTGGCCTTTGGGGGCCTGTTTTACAGGTCAGAAAAGTGGGCCTGCACGAAGCACAGCTGTTTTCATCATCTAAGGGAAAATTGTATGCTTTCAGTGCTCCGGAGCTCACAAAACACGCTCAGACCCATTTCATTTAATCCTCTTGATACTGGTCCATTATTTTCATTTCCAGATGAGAAAACCTGAGCACAGAGAGAGGTTAAATGACTTGCCAATTCAGTAAAGGGCAGAAATAAAATTCAAAGCCACTTTTTCTTTTTTTTTTTTTTCTTTTTTTTTTTTTTTTTTTTTTTTTTTTTTTGTTTTTTTTTTTTATTTTTAG